TGGTTTTAGTGTTGTTAGAGGTGTTTTGATGATTGGAACAAGTTTGAAAGAGGTCTTAGGATATGTTGGCATTTTTGGTTGAGGTCCCGGGGGCCTCGGGTGTGTTTCGGATGGCCAACGGGTCATTTTTGGAACTTGTTGGATTGCTGAACTGCTGGTATCTGGTTTCCTTCTTCGCGAACGCGAGGGGTGTCTCGCGAACGCGAAGAGGAAAAATGGGGGGCTGAGATTTGGCCTTCGCGAACGCGAGGCATGCTACGCGAACGCGAAGGGTCTGGGGAACTTGGCCTTCGCGAACGCGAGAGTGGTCTCGCGAACGCGAAGAAGGAGGGGTCAGACCTGGGCAGAATGTTTTAAAACATTTCATCCGCGAACCCAACCCACTTTTCCTCCATTTTTGGGCATTGTTGAGAGCTTTTGGACGGGGATTGAAGAGAGTTTCAACTGGGGTCGATTGAAGGTAAGTTTTATGAGTTAAAAACATGATTTTATTGTAAAATCATCCTTGAAATTCATGAGAATATAGCCAAATTGTAAGAAATTAGGGCTTGAGTTTGAAATTCTAATTTGAGATTTGAGGGGCCATTTGTGGTCCGATTCGAGATATTTTGGTATGTATAGACTCGTGTCGAGATGAGGAATCCGGTGATGTTAATTTTCTGATTTTTCAAGAAGTGGGCCCGGGGCTCGGGTTTTGCGAATTTCGTGATTTTCGATATTTTTCGAGTCTTTTCGATTGGGTTATGTTCCCTTAGCCTATTGTGACGTATTCGTTGTGGTTTTGGTCAGATTTGACGCACGAGGAGGTTAATTCGAAAGGCAAGGGCATAGCAAGTTAGGACTTTGGCTGGCTTGAGGTTAGTAATAAATGTAAATGCTGTGTTGAGGGTTTGAAACCCCGAATTTACACAACGTAGTGCTATGTGAGGTGACTTGCACGCCGGATAACGGGCGTGGGGTAGAGCACCATCAGGGATTGTGACTTGGTCTGTCCCGCTTAATAAAATTGATACCTATTTGATTGTAGATTTGTAATATCCTTATAAAAATGGATTAATTGTCATAACTGGGCTTCGTGCCAACTACTTAAATCCTTCAGGGATTATTTTAATGGTTTCTTACCATATTTATAAATATTAAACTCAGTCCTGGTATTTAATACTGTGTTTGAAATCTCAGCCATTTTCTTAAATTAGAAATTAAGTTAATATTTTTAAATGAAGTTTGGGCTGAATATTTTTATACTATTGTGTGATTTTTGGACTGAGTATGGGATCGGGCTGCACGCCGCAGCAGCATTATAATGATATTGATATGAGGCCATGGGCCAGTTTGATGCCACGAGATGGCTTATTATTGCGCTTGGGCCGTAAGGGGCCCCTCCCGGAGTCTGCACACCCCCAGTGAGCGCCTTCGACGTTAAATAAATGGAGCGGGCTGCACGGCCGCAGCGGGGTACTGGAGGTACCGGTTTATGTGTTGCATTGCATATTTAATTGTCATTTATTTCTTTCATCTGTTATGATGTTTATTCTAACTGTATTGCTGTTTAATGGTATTTTTAGCTTTACTTTGTGTTTATTTAGGATTTCTTATCCTCAGACTTTATTTATATTTATTACTTTCTGGGTTGGAAGTACTCACAATACTCCCTGCACCTTGTGTGCAGATCCAGGTACACCACAGGGTGAGTGAGGACTTGTTTAGCGGAGCAGTAAATATTCGGGAGTATCGAGGTAGCTGCATGGTGTTCGCAACCTTGATCTCTCCCTTCTATCTTTTATTGTTTTATTCGTATATTTTTCTTAGTCGGACTTGTAATAGGTGAATAATCTGTTTCTAGAGGCTCATGTTCGTGACACCAGATTCTGTGGGTTGATTAGTACTTTGTTTTTATTTTGGGATTTTCNACTTGTTTAGTTGAGCAGCATTTATCCAGGAGTATCGAGGTAGCTGCATGGCGTTCGCAGCCCTGATCTCTCTCATCTATTTTATCCTTTTAATTCGCATTTTTCCCTACACGGACTTGTGGTAGGTGAATATTCTGTATTAGAGGCTCATGTTCGTGACACCAGATTCTGTGGGCTGATTAGTATTTTTAGTATTTAAATTCTGGGGTTCTCAAATGTTAGAGATTATATCAGAAATTCCGCATTAAATTGGTACTTTAGTAGTGAATATTTATTTATCTATTGAGATTAATTGGCTAAGGTTGTGTAAATGGTCGGGCTTGCCTAGCATTGTGTTGGGCGCCATCACGACCGGGGTTTGGGTCGTGACACTAACGTGTCAGGAATTAATCCGACAATTGGGAAATCAATAACCCTAGACCATTTTACCATTGAATTCAACTCTATTCTTGATTATTGCTAGTTTTTCCTTAGTTAACTAAATTCTACTCTTTATCCATTAAAAATCTTGCATCCGGGGATTGTTTGAGCTATTCATTAGCAGTGTTAAAAGTTGTAGACCTTTCTCTTCAGAAAATAGATTAAGAGGATGATCTCCTCCAGTTTCTCTACGGTAGATTTGATAGCATCTGTCTCTTTAGGTTCTATGATTTTTTCTCAGAATTTCTATTTATGGTTGTTCAGGTGCGCTTGTGCTTCCTCTAACTGGGGTTTTGTTGCTTCGTGCAATTCTTGTTGTTTTAATTGCTATATTTGCTTGCCAAGATGATGGAATTGCACTCTTAGACTTATCTATGCTCTCCTCGGATCTCCCTGATTCCCCACTTCATCGAAAATTTGATAGCATGGTATAGAATGGATGGCACTCTATCCATGTCGTTAATCTACGATGTTCCTAGGATCATTTGGTAGGCCATATCTCCGACTACAACCTGGAATAGGGTTTCTTTGTACACTCCTTCTGCAAAAATCATTATAGTATTTCATATCGGGTTGTCTGGAGTTATTGAACCCAGAGAGCAAATGTGATTCTGGAATGATCTGATCTGCCACTTTCATGTCTTCAACGGCCGTTATAAGAAAACGTTCACCGAACTTCGTAGATCAACTAAAACTCGTTTAATGTAAGTATCAGAGGCTCGTAGTGTAATTACCAGCACATCATTGTGCGACATCATTAGTCCATCTGCATCTTCATTTTCGAAAGTGATGCTTTCCCTTATTAGTGTGTCCGACTATGCTTCTCGTATCTAATCAAAATTTGGCGAATTTCCTTGCCGCTGTGAATGTGACTTTGTTGATTTCTTCACCTTCTAAGATAACATTGATTGTCTGCTTAGGTAATGGGGCTTGGGGAGGCCCTTCTTTACTCCGATTCTTCATATAGGATTTCTCCATGAGGTACCCTTTTTCAGAAGGTATTTTACCTCACTCTGTAGAAGTCTGCAATCTGCAGACCTATGCCAAGATTGTTGTTACATTTGCACGAAAATTCTTGGCTTCTCTTACTAGGTCCTGATCTTATTTCCTTGGGCTATCTCAAGTTGTCGCCTATAACCACTAATTCAAAAATGATGATGCTGAAATTGCAATCTGCGAGCTTTGGTTTGGAGTGGTAGTCAATAAAGTTTGATGCATCCAGTTACTTGCTTGTTCGAAAAGGCCCAGTGTTTCTCCTCTAGCCAGTTCCCCGGCCATCTTAGTTGGGTTCTCATCGAGCGGGTCCAGGGTAGGGTTCACATAGATCCACAAACTCTCTAAGCAATTTTGTGCTTCTTTGTTGGATTTAAAAATATATCTTTCATCGGCTTCTTCACTTTTTGAGCTCCAGAATATGCTTTGACAAAAGCATTTGCAAGCTGGGCAAATAAGTTAATAGAATTTTCAGATAAAAGAGAATATCATGTTACCGCTTCCTTTGTGAGCGTCTCTCCGAACTTCTTCATGAGTATCGATTTGATCTCGGGCTTGGTCAAATCATTTCATTTGACTCTAGTAGTGAAGGCTATAATGTGATCCCTAGGATCTGTTGTTCCATCATACTTGGAGATGTTTGGCATTTTAAACTTCTTCGATATAGGTAACGGGGCTGTGCTTGATTTTCACAGTTGGTGGGAGTAATTGTCCATATCAATTCCTTTAATAATGAGGAGAACCCTCAGGATCTAATTGGTCCGCTTGTTCTTATCCTTAATATGATTCAACAGAGTTCCTGTAGTGTCAGGATAGAATTTTGCAAATCTAAATTACTTGTGGTTCTCGAACCTTCTCCGTCGAGATCCGCAGGAAGTCTTCTAGTTTCAGAGTGCCAGGGGACAGAGTCGGCCCCAAACTTGATGGAAGGACTATAGGAGTTCCAGTGTTAGCATCAATGGTTAGAGCTTGCAGCACCTCCCATATCTCACTGTTCCAAGCTTGCTGGTGTGTTATGAAATGCTTCATAGTTTCCCAATCCAGAATGGTCTCCGTCTCTGCTAGTAGATTTTTCTGGAAAACCTTCCAACACTCTAAGCATCTAGAATGCCTCCTAATGGCAAGGCTTGATCCACTTGTCGGGGTAGATTGATTGGTTAGTTGTTGTTAGTCTCAAACATGTTGTTCCTTCAATCAACAATAAGCAAGTGAGGATCAATAGAGAATTAAGAAAACTGAAAAAAGGCCAACTACGCTTTGAATTGAATGCATAATTGCTTGGACCCTAATCTGGACACCAAACTGTCTACCCTAAAATTAATTGAAAGTCTAAACTGATTACATTTGTAAAGTTAGGCCTCAAGCAATTGATTAAATCCGATCAAGTTGGTCCTTGTTAATTTAAAACAAGAAAAAGGTGATGATAACAACTACTACTAAATACAAGATGAATAGAAATTGGATTAAAGTAAAAGCGTGAATAGGTAGAATCTCTTATTGATATTTATACTACGGTGCTAGTGTAACCATCCCCCTAGTATTAAAACTAGCCGTTATTGCCAGTATCTACGTCAGATGCGACGATTCACATTTAAGTAACTAAAGTATGGTCTTAACCATAGTCAACATAAAAGATTATTTCATATATTTTCTCCCAAAGGATTTGACAATCCCATATATAAAAACTGCAATGGAGATTTCCATTTTTTTTTTTTTTTTGAATGCTATAAATAAAGCGAAACCCTTACAACCAGTTGCTGGTATAAGAAACCGTAGCCTCAGCAACTACAGAATAATACTACAGGGAACTGAGAAAACTATATTATAGACATGATTGACTTACAACGATCATGCTTCAATCATCCCATTAAATACACACAGAAAAAAAAGAATAGTACATCAAACTCTCATCATAATTCTGTAAAACCCAATATTCCCAATCAAAGAATATGATATGCATCCAGTTTTTGTTGATCAAAATGTAATCATCAAACTCTCACGATTCCACCAGTTGATGAGCCCAAGTTGATACCATTTGGTTGGTCTATACAAAGAGAGCAAAAAACTAATTAGTGAAGTTTTCAAACAAATGAGAGTTGGAACTTTTTCTACTGCATCATCTACTGAAGGTGATGAAAAAAATCTATTGTAGCCAAGAATGAAAACTAGATAATTTGAAAAGAGTTTAATTTTTATGGACGGAGGTGTAAAAAATATTTATGCAATTAAGTTAATTACTATAAGTAATTACAAGTAAACCTCTATATAATAAGTTTTATTTGTAACTGATAACCTTGTAAAAATAATAATTAATGCTAGCAGAGGTTAATCTAATTAAATTGATAATATAAAATTTTTACGGTTGTTAGTATATATAACTTAAATCCATTTAGGAAATGATGAGTTCTTTCTACATTATATAAAAGAAAATATAGATAGAGATCTTACTTTGTGGTCTGTTGTAGAAGAAAAAACATGTTCCAATGACAATGTAACAGAGCAGGAGGACTAATCCTTTGATATAATGTGATGTTCCATCCTGCAAGTACGATTAAAAGTGTCATTATTAACTTTTATCTGATTAAAGAAGATACAATTATCGTATGATGAATTGTTTGGACTCTTCAAAAATGTAGCCGAATCCTCTATCAATATCCTCTAAAAAATGCTCTGCTATTTAGAGAATCTGACATGTGTCCGACAATATTTTTAAAAAATTCAAACAACATAGCTCTTAGGGCTATCACACATAGCGGCCCAAAATTAATTACCTGTAAAGTGAAAGCTGTGACAATTATTGCCAAACCGAGGGAGCCAGTCTCAAGAAGACTAAAATCAAGATCCATTCTCTCACCAATAATCCATGCGACAATTACACTTAATGGAACCTGAATGATGTAAATCACAAGATATCATAAATTAGGACATATAATTGTTCAAGTTTTATAAGGTGATCATCTAATTAGTTGAAATTTGAAATATAAACCTTTGATAAGTAAGATTACTTAATTCAAAACAGTTGGAAATGAAGAAAGTTATTATATTGAGGAGAAAATAGTATATGTCGAAGATTTAAGTCGAAAAGTTAGGTGAAATATATAAATTACATTGTAAAGAGTTATTTCAGTATAAGTATATATTAATATATTGTAGGTAATCTGCCATATTTCATATTACTAGTTTTAATTATATTATGAATTGATAATTATTTGTTGTTATCTTGCGACCAAATAGTGTAAAGAAATCTTTTACTCTGAAATAAATTAGGAATATAGGGGAGTGAGATACTTACCACAAACATGGCAATTTGAGTTGCTGAGCCTAGGGCAACTCCCAAAGAAATGTCCTGCATTATGCACCAAATCCATTTTTAGGTTCCCTTATTAGCTTATTATTAATGCATGAATATGATCACTATTTAAATTCAACATACCAATTTATTTTTGAAAGCAAAAATGACAGCGCCAGCATGTTCTGCAGCATTTCCAACAATTGGTAACAAAATAACACTAATGAAGCTCACTGAGATTCCCCAAGAATCTGATGCTGCCTGTTGAATTTTAATGTCAAATAAATTAAATTGTCAAGACTTCATAATTAAAAAGAATATATATATATATATATATATATATATATATATATATATATATATATATATATATATATATATATATATATATATCTTTAATGATTATTAATTAGTTCATTAATTACTGACCTCAATAGTACCAACAACATATTCAGATAATAGAGCAACAACTACGGTCATTCCTACCAACCATGCAAATGCACTCCAGAATCCAAGCACTGCTTCCTCTTCTTCCACTGTGTCATCTTCTTCATTTTCTTCCTGATCATTATAACAATTTATAACTTAGTCAAATTCAATATGAATCGAGTCATGCAACAACTAAATTAAGAAGGATTTAACTTATACATACTAACAATGTAGAATTTTTCTTTTACACTATTACAATAATTTAAACGGTTGTAACATTCTTTTGCAACATTTGCAGGTTAAAAAGTTGCACTATCCGTTCACAAAAGTTGACTAAATTTACGTTTTACTTGCTAACCGTGTAAATTGTGACAGCGACATACCTTTCTCGGCGTTTTAGCTAAGATCAAGTGTAGTATTTATTTTAATCAGTTTAATATCTGATATATGAATCGTCAGTACGCATATTATTAATTTAATTTTTTAAGGGGAAGGTACATCAAAGTAGTTTGCCACTTGGGCCTCGCGCGTCCCAAGCCTGGCTCAACTCATAAAAGAAAAAATAACTGTATTACTAATGTTTATTGTAGAATCTTGTATGTAACTACCTTATATAAAGTAACCTCAGGGATAAATATCTTTATTATAGTGCATAAAACTTAAACTCGTGATAAATACCGAGACTTACAGCTTGTGCGTCAAAAAGTTGGCGGTGGGTCCACAACTGGAAAATTAGGTAACCGAGGTAGGCAATGAGCATGACAATGCAGCTAACTCTTGATAGAAGCAGTGTTGCTTTAGCTGTAACAGCAGCAGATTCTCCAACTTCAGCATAACGAAACATCAATGGTAGCATATGACATAATAGTCCCAACAGCAAAAGCAGTGAGTTCACATCTGCTTGTTTCTGTTCAATTACATAAAGCCAGTAAAATTAAAAAGTTGTTGTACATAAGTTAATCTCTTAATCCTAACACTATTTAATAATGAGCGACAGAGTCGGAAAAGTACCAGTGTACCATTAATTGAACATTTCATGTTTTAAGTGTTTGGTGGGAGAGTAAAAATTATTTTTCGAAAAATATAATATATTAAAGATTAATAAAATAATATTTGCAAATAAAAAGTGCTTTTATGAAACTTTTTATAACTAAAAATTAATAATGATGTCTGGCTTCTGTCCGATAAGTCATTTGCCCCTCTTTTTCTTGAAAAACATTTCCAAAATAAAATAGAAAATAATTAAACATAATAAAATATCTTTTTTAATAAATGACTTTCATCGTACTAAATATTTCTTATTAGTTCAAGACTAGGTGGGCGTTTGGACATAAGAATTGTAAAATTTCAGAACAGGGTGAAAAAAAATTTCAAGTGAAAATGGTATTTGAAATTTAGAGTTGTATTTGCATGAATATAATTTTGGGTTGTTTTTTGAAGTTTTTTGGAGTTTTTCAAATTTTCGAAAATTTCCAAAATGTATCTTCAAGTGAAAATTGGAAATTTCATGAACAAACGCTGATTTTGAAAAAAAAAAAAGTGAAATTTTTTGGAAAAAAATGAAAAAATTTCTTATGTCCAAACGGGCTCTAGGTGTTGTGCATCCATTTTGGGCTGTGTAAAATTTAGGGCTTCTAATACATTTAAACACTCGGCTGAAAATAATTACAAAATACAAAAAATATATACTGATTTACGTACCCTGTCATATTTTTGTTCCTTGGAGAGATTAGCAATGCCACCACAGAAGAGGGAGGTGCCAAGAACCAGAAGAAGGTTTGAAAGTATAGAGCCCAATAGGGAGTATTTCACAACATCTACTTTGTGTTGCGTCAGAGCAAGAATTGCTATTATCAGTTCCGTCGCATTCCCACACGTTGCATTTAGAAGCCCTCCAACTGAACAAATCATTAATTAAACACATGCACAATATTTACCCTATCATCTATTTTACTAGATATTACTCGGGGTAACTGTTGTTGAAGATGGTAAAAAACAATTGTACACCGTCAATAGCAAAATTAAACTGTTTTCTAATTAATATATTTGTTCAATTTCCAGTTCCCAACATTAATTAGGTCATCGTACGCTTTGTGGTCCTCCTGTATACATTATCCTGGCTAAAAAAGAAATCTCTTTGATAATGCTAAAACTGTTATACAGAGGATATAGAACTGCACGTCAATCTTATCTTCTCTTTATCCTTTTTCTTTTTTTCTTTTTATTGAAGAAAGATTATATATATATATATATATTGGGAGTTCTAATTAAAACATTGGCGAGTAAACAATTAGACAAGAATAAACAAAAGAGGTTTTTAGTTCAGATTTATAAGAAAAGCTAGGAGAGGATCAAAATAAATGATAAATTAATAAGTACCTGTTGGACCAGTGAAGAAAGCTATTTGTCTGCAAATTCAACGATCAAAAACGGAAGGAAACAGAAAAATAATCAGATAATAGTAAATTAAATTAATAAATAAAATTTTGATTATAAAATAGGGAATCAATCTCCTTACTCTGTCAAAAAGCTGATCCGTTCAGCCAATGGTGTGAGTCCAACTAAACTCAATCCAAAAACCCATGACTGATTTTTTTAAGAAAAAATAATAAGAAGAATGTCAGTACAATGAAATAAATTAAAGATAAGCAATAACAGAAGTGTTGATTAAATAATAGCTTCTCAGATCCGTATCATTCAACGGCTCTTTTGCTTGTCCAAAATGAAAATTCAATCACCGTTTAAAATACTACTCAAACTTCTAGTATTGTTTTCTCCATTTTGTGTTAATTAAAGTTTTTTATTCATGCATAATGTCTTAATCTGTTAGAACTATGTAACCATTTAATCTTAAATTTAAAATATTTAATAAACTACAGTTTTGATTAGTTAATTACTCCATATATTTTATCTTCAATACACCTTCTCACGTGCGTGTCTGGTTCTTTCTTTCACTAGAAATATATTTTTCCTTTAATTTTGGGTGACGGTGAGATAGAACGCTGGATAACCTATTGCCTACTCTAATCAGAGGCGGACCTATATACTAGTAGTTAGAGGGTTCACCGTCGCCTAAAGAGTTCAACAAAAATTTCGTGTATACATATATATATCTTTAAAAAATAGTGATATATTAATAGTGACACCCGATATACAAAGCAAATTTTGATTAAATGCAAAAGTGCACCCCCAACCTTCAAATCCCGGGTCCGCCCCTGGCTCTAATATCTAATCATGTTAAATTGTAATTAAGCAATGATCAAAATAATACAATAAAAATAAAAAACTAATAAAAAGAAAAGAGAAGATGGCTTACTCTTCCAAAGTTTTGGTAATGAGCAAGAATGGCGAAAGGGACAGCAATGAAGAGCACAAAAAGTTTAGTTCCTAAAATGACCTCTTGAATATTAGCAAGAACATCTCTAACAATGCTGCAAGGTACTTTCCGAACAAGGGTAAGATCGGATTTTTTTCTCAGAGATGCTGAGGACATGTTATGAGCTGTTCGGCTACGGCCATGTCCATGCTTCATTTCTTTGCTTAAGGGTTTAATATTTCCATTTTCTAAGAGCCATGCTTCTGCTGCTGGTGCTGATGATGAAGACATTGGTTTTGAAAAGTTCGTGTATTCTTTTTCTGTATTTGTTTGGTTTTAATTTATGCTGATGCAAATAGTTTTAAATATGTATAATGATAAGAAACGTAACTCGGAGAGATAACTATGGAGTATGAAGTTTTTTGAGCACTGTTATATTGATAAGTGATAACTGTCTGAGTGAGTACGGTGAGCTTGAATATACATTATATAAGTAATGATTTGGAGCTAGCAATTTCCACGAAGTTTCTACTTTTGTTTTTTTTTGGGATATCATTAGAAAAGATTTTTTTTTCAAAAAATGTAACTTCTTTTAGGAAAACAGAAAATATATTACAATGACAGAAGTGCGTGAAATTTTTGCCGGTTGTCCTTTTTTGTATCAGTTGTTTAATAGAGGGTCATCTTTTTATTCTCTTGCAATTGAATGACCGTTTAAACCACGGTCTAAATATCATTTTTGAGCAAACTAAAAATCTTATGATAAAATGTTAGATCATGGTTTAAATTTTTCTAAGTTATTGCAGACGTTAGACGACGGTCGAAAGTTTCTATAAGTTATTCAAATGTTAGACCGCAGTGTTATATTTTGTGAGTAAACTGAAATATATATGAGCAATTATTATAACTGAGTCTATTGTTGTCCGGAAGGGTAATTTTCCAAGGTTGCACAATGTAACGACCCGATAGGTCGTTTTGAGTACTAGCTTCTTTTTCTGTGTTCCGGGACTTTACATAACTCAATTTGACGATTTATGACTTGTGTGCATGGTCAGCGATTTCCAGAAAGTTCATATGTGAAATTCTAAAGAAAATATGATTTTTGACTTTAAATGTGGCTCGAGTTGACCACGGTCAATATTTTTGGTAAACAACCTTGGATTAGTATTTTGACAATTCCGGTAGGTTCGTATGATGATTTTGGACTTGTAAGCATGTTTGGTTGGGGGCCCGGATGATCCGAGACCCTTTCGACGCATTAGGTTAAAAGTTGAAAAAAAATAAGTTTTAAACTTGAAAGTCTTGAATTTTAATGATCAACTCTTAGTATTTGATGTTATTTTGATGATTTGAGCTAGCGAGCGAGTTTGTATGATGTTGTTACACTTGTATGGATGTTTGAATTGGAGCCCGAGGGGCTCGGATGAGTTTGGATGCATTGTGGACTGAATTTTTTTGGCTTAGCGGGACTACTGGTGTTGAATGTCTGCAGGTCTCGCAGTTGCGAGAACATGTTCGCAATTGCGAGCTTCGCTTATGCAAAGTCAGGATCGCATTTGCTAAGGGGGGCTAGGAGTTGGGCTCAACGCTTTTGCAAAGAGACGATCACATTTGCGAACATGGAGGGAATCGCATTTGCGGCATTTCAGTCGTATTTGCAATACAGGCTTGTAGCTGGGCAGCTTCGCAAATGCGAAGCTTGGTCTGTATTTGCGAGGATGGGGACCTTCGCAAAAGCAATGGTTTTGTCGCATTTGCAATAACTGAGTAGCTGAGACAGTGATTGCATTGCGATCAGTGGTCCGCATTTGCGAACATCACAATTGCAAACAAGAGTTTGGAATTGCGACATCTCTACATGGGTAAAATATGAGGATTTCGGGACTTAGCTTATCTTATACCATTTTTGAACCCTAGACTCCATAGAGGCGATTTTGGAGAGCAATTTCTTCCCAAATTCATAGGTTAGTAACTTTTAACTTGTTTTAAATCAATTTTCATTACTTTTTCATGAATTTCATCATCGAATATATGAATTTCAAAGTAAAAAATGGGGGGTTTTGGGTAGAATTTTGTAAATTGAGGTCGGATTTCGAAACAAATCACATATCCGGGCTCGGGGGTGAATGGGTAACCAAGATTTCATCTTAATTCGAATTTTGGCCACGTGGGCCTGGTTGACTTTTTGTTAAATTTTTCAATTATGTTAAATATTGAATCTTTTTCATTTGTGGGTGGTTTATAAAACTTGTTTTGACTTGTTTGAACAATATTTGAGTAGATTCGATTGGTTTGGAGGCTTGGTTTAAAGGAAAAGTCGTGTTGGATTGTTGATTGTGTTTTGGAAAGAGGTAAGTGTCTTGTGTAACCTTGATTTGAGGGAAATAAGGTAGAGTCAAGTCTATTTTCTATGTGATCTATGTGTTGGGGCAGCATCTATGCAAGGTGACGAGTGTATATGCGTTAGTCATGGGATAAGCATGCGGGTAGAATTAGCCTTACTTGTGCCACGTTATTTTATGTATTATGTCTTTCATGTCTTAGATAGATTATTTATTTCTTTAATTACTCGTATTCATGTTATTTCTTACGTTGAGATTAATGTGGTATTAGGTGTTGAGATCGTGGATTTATTGATTGTTTGTTGGCACTAGGGCTGGGCATATATCGGGTAAAACCGATAACCCGAACCGTTAATTGTTTATTGGGTTATTGGGTTAATGGTTCGACAACGGTTTAGAATTTTTTCGCTATTGGGTTATCGGTTCGGGCCTCGATTTGCCAATTTTGCTAATGGGTTAACCGATAACCCAATAAGAATTAATCAAATTACGACTTTACCCTTAAGTATATACAAATGCTAGGGCTTCAGTTCATTCTCTCCTATTCGTTCTCAACCGAACTCTACAGTTGCTTCATCTTCATTCTTCATAGACCTTACTAGTTACTCCTAGTGTATGTCTTTAGTATATTATATGTGAATTCTTCTCTTTTTTGCTTAATGATCACGCCCAACTATGCCCTCTAAAAAAGGACTCTGCGGACGTTGCAAATATAACCCGAGTATTACGCCCAGGGTCGAATACACAGAGAGTTAACCTATCAATCACTATCTTTAGACCCAATAAACTCTTCAGAACCAGTTTCCCAGATGTTTGAATCACAGTTGAAGGTCGCTTTACTAACTACGATTGCAAGTAAATTAAACAGCTGTAAATTAAAATGCTAAGGTTGTAAACAATGATGAGAAGAAGCTAAGGTAATGATTTCCCCTATTGAAAGAATCCCTTTTGTTTATGCTCATACAAATTTACCAGCACATCTCTATCAATCATGAACGCTTATCTTACCGTAAATCTCTCCCGAGTAATCACAGTAATATACTAATTGCACTCTCCCGAGATACACTAGCTTACTTTATTTCGCACAATTCACTTTAGATTACACCCAAGGCTTCGTTATCCCTAGTCCCGCCTTTAAACCCGCAATTATAGATTCCTCTTATACTTTGGGAGTGGTGTTGTTCAACAATAACCTAAATATGCACTCTTTTCCAAGTTATGCACACTAATTAGGCACAGCTAATTGAGGATCCTGTCAATTAACTACAACAAGCACAAAGTTGAACAAATAGAGATTGAAACTAGCAATTTGTATTCACATAAACAAGATGTTCATCCCCCAATAGGTTCCATCAAAGCCTTAGACAAAGGATTTAGCTACTCATGGCTATGGGAAAACAAACTAAGATAGAATTCATCATAACTAGCAATAAAAATCAAAGAAAAGAAGAAAGATGTTTTGGGTGATCTCTCACAATTGTTTTCCTTGCCAAGATACTCTAAAATTCAATACATGCCTCTCTTGGGCGAAGTCTTGTATTTAAAATAGGGTTTAGGTCTAAAAATTCCGTGTTTTACACTTTAGTCCCTGAAGTTTTCTGCTTCCGCCGCGGTTCTGCCGCGGTCGCGGTCAAACCGCGGCCAAATGCCTTCTCTGGTCATATNCGTGACAATGGTGGGCGCCAAACTGTTTACCTTGAAAACGGTAATAACAATTAGATTTGATTTTGTGGTTCTAAAAATATGTGATCTATTTTTATGCTAGTTGTTAGGCAATAGATGTTGAGTGAAGTATTAGAAATTAAGATGATAGCTTGTAGATGGCTTAACAATCGAACCGAAATGGTTGGGAATCGAGGCCTCGAGCTTGCGTATACGGGGCCTCGAGGTCGAATCGGATGCCCGGTTAGGGGCAGTCGATGAAGGAATAACAGTTATGAGAGTTGTGATTGCGGCTCTTTATGAGCAATAAATGAAGAACAATTAATAGAACACAGTGAGTATAAGCAACAAATGTAAATAAAGAAACCAAGAGAATGTGTTCAAGCTAGAGAGCAGAGAATGTTCTTGTATTGAATGTAGTGTGTTGTATCTTGTGTATCAGATGCCTTTACAAAATGATAAGTGTCCCGTTTATATGTGAGGGGGAATCTTAACATGGTACAAGATGCATTTATTGAAAAGACATGAAGTTGGCATAGCCATTTAATGCTACTGCGCGGGCCTGAACTAGCCCAGTAGGCTAGGCCAGCTTTTAATCATGTGCCTTGGGAACTTCCCGCTAGTGCGCCGTAACCATTGGTTTGCACTGCCTCGAGGTCGATCATTATGAACCCTTGGGGGCGAACTCCGAGCTAGACTTCGAGCCTTCCGGGGGTGGTCTTGCTGAGGCGCTCTAGTGATTACAAAATCGAGCCCTCTAATTTTACCGTATACACAAGTTCAAGTTCAAGAAATCAATTTCAAGCTCAAGAACGAAGAACAAATTGATCACGCCCAACTATGCCCTCTAAAAAAGGACTCTGCGGACGTTGCAAATATAACCCGAGTATTACGCCCAGGGTCAAATCCACAGAGAGTTAACCTATCAATCACTATATTTAGACCCAATAAACTCTTCAGAACCAGTTTCTCAGATGTTTGAATCACAGTTGAAGGTCGCTTTACTAACTACGATTGCAAGTAAATTAAACAGTTGTAAATTAAAATGCTAAGGTTGTAAACAATGATGAGAAGATGCCAAGGCAATGATTTCCCCTATTGAAAGAATCCCTTCTGTTTATGCTCATACAAATTTACCAACACATCTCTATTAATCATGAACGCTCATCTTACCGTAAATCAATCCCGAGTAATCACAGTAATATACTAATTGCACTATCCCGAGATACACTAGCTTACTTTATTTCGCATAATCCACTTTAGATTACACCAAGGCTTCGTTATCCCTAATCCCGCCTTTAAACCCGCAATTATAGATTCCTCTTATACTTTGGGAATGGTGTTGTTCAACAATAACCTAAATGTGCATGCTTTTCCAAGTTATGCACACTAAATAGGCACAGCTAATTGAGGATCCTGTCAATTAACTTCAACAGCACAAAGTTGAACAAATAGAGATTGAAA